GGAGATTTTTGTTTTCTTTTGTCAAACAATGGATCACATTCCAGATATGGCGCCCTATTGTTGTGGGTATTGTTGGACAACACTGTGTGCCTTAGACCACATTGCAAAATTAAGATCAAGCGATGCCGACGCCCGTGCCTGTATTATTCAAACTCAACAGCTACGTTCCACTGCCAGTCAATTGCATTCCATTGTGAGTTACATGGCGATTTGGTATTCAAACTCAACCCTGGCCCTAACAATGAAGGAACTTTAGGATCTTTGCGTTCTAACCTAATTAGTGTACAACTCGCCGACCCTATTTCTAAAAATATTAAACATCCACTGAAGTTTTGCTTAATGAACACGCAGTCTCTTCGGAACAAGATCGCCGATTTTACAGACTACGTTGTCTACAATAAGTTCGATTTTGTTGCTGTCACAGAGACTTGGTTAAAGCCAATTGATGACTCAATTAGAAGTCAACTTTGTCCACCTGGTTTCAAACTATATGACAGACCGCGGGAGGGTAAAAGAGGTGGTGGTACTGCTTTGTTACACAGGGACTCACTGAACATTTCCAAGGGAAACTACGGACAGAAAGAGTCATTCGAATTTTCCGAATGGATTGTAAAATCAACTGGCTCCTGTAATGTTCGAGTGATTATCTTATATAGACCTCAGTACTCAGAAGACCACAAAGTTCCTGTAAATGTATTCCTCGACGAATTTGCTCACTACATGGAATCATTAATACTCTCAAGGGAAGATCTACTCATTGTAGGAGATTTTAATCTCCATGTTGAAATGGCTAATGATGTTGATGCAAAGAAATTTCTAGATCTGATCGAATCTCTGGGTCTCCAACAACATGTTGATAAGCCTACTCATAACAGTCGCCAAAGAATTTATGGAGTGGGCAAAAACAATATGGAGTGTTTGAAATTACCCAAAAGGCTAATCATTACTCGTTCTTAGCCAATCACAATCGACTATTGTAAGAGGAGATTTGAGAGAGTAATCATTACCCACTAATATCCAATCAGATATAAGTAAACAGGTAATCTTTACTTGGCTGGGTAATCATTACTCTTACTAAAAACAGATGTTCGCGAAATAACGATGTCCCGTGAATTCATGATACAAACTATGGCCTGACTAAGTATAACTTTGAGTGATAAAGCGAAATGGGTGGTTTGATCGATATTGAATCGCAATGTAAGACAAATTCTGTACTTTTATGTAAGTCACGTCTCGAATCGTGTCTCTCTGACTACTGAATG